ATAAACTTTAATTTTGGAGGAGTGGTCACTGAATGATATATCTAGGGTTGTTCATTACTATATCTCTGGTGCCTGGCCGGCATCGTGCCTGACACACTCAGATCTTTACCTTATGAGAATAATTCATTCTATAAAAAAAAAAGACATTCAAACATGAATCCAATTAAAATAGGGGAAAATCAGTGAAAAGGTTTTTTTTGGAACTTTATCTTCAAAATGGAACCACAGATTATAAAAGTAAATTAATCTTAGATTTAATAAAATGTAGATTATAATGAGAATTCCATGCTAAATTTTAGAATAAACAATTTTTAACAAAACTATTTTACAGCCAATTAACTTTACTTTTTATGTTTAACTTTTACAACAGGAGTATAGACTTTTTTTTCAAAAAGAACTTTTTCAGACCTTGAAATATTTGAAGGTTTCATCAGTTTTTCCAAGGACCTTTCTATTTTTTAATTTATTAAAATTTTTTTTAATGTTTATTTCTTTTTGAGAGAGAGAGAGAGAGGTGGAGGGAGGGGGGGAGAGAGCGAGAAAGAGAGAGAGAGAGAGAGAGAGAGAGACAGAATCAGAATCAGAGGCAAGCTCCAGGCTCCAAGCTCTCAGCACATAGCCTGACATGGGGCTCGAACTAACAGACAGCACAGAGAGATCATGACCTAAGCCAAAGTCGGACACTTAACCAACAGAGACACCCAGGTGCCCCCCAAGGACCTTTTTAAATCTTGAATAGAATTATTTAAATAATTTTTTCTTTTTAAGGATCTGTTATGTCATTCCCCTTGTTGATTCTTTGTTAGTTGGTCTTTAATTGGACATAGCCCTTAATTGTCAGTGGCTTTGTGTAATATTGTAATGGTTCTCCAACATCGCTTTGATCTACTCCTAGAAATTCTGTACCTTCTGGAAGAATTTTAATTTTGAGGGCTCCTGTGTGGCTCAGTCAGTTAAGCATCGGACTTTGGCTCAGGTCGTGATCTCACGGTTTGTGAGTTTGAGCCCCGCGTCGGGCTCTGTGGCTGACAGCTTAGACCCTGGAGCTTGCTTCATATTCTGTATCTCCCTCATTTTCTGCCCCTCTCCCTTTCATGCTCTGTCTCTCTCTCAAAAATAAAGATTTAAAAATTTTTTAAAGAATTTAATTTTGATTTGCAGGTGATTTGTATTTGTTTATTAAAAAATTTTTTTATAATGTTTATTTTTGAGAGAGAGACAGAGAGACAGAGCATGAGCGGGGGAGGAGCAGAGAGAGAGGGAGACACAGAATATGAAGCAGGCTCCGGGCTCTGAGCTGTTAGCACAGAGCCCGACATGGGGCTCAAACCCAAGAACCTGAGATCATGACTTGAGCCGAAGTCAGATGTTCAACCAATTAAGCCACTCAGGCCCCCCGAGGTGACTTGTGTGTGTATAAACTGAAATATTAAACAATTATCGGGAGAGGGTAGATGATTTTAAGAGGAAAGCCACATTGGTCATACATTGCAAAACTTCAAGAGGTGTCTGGAGAGAGGTGTGAGGAATGATTTAATTTTATTTGTGGTTGGTTCTTAAGTGATTGTATGTTATGATAACGTATGTTTTCCTACCTAAGCATATGACTACAGGAACTCAGATAATCAATAATGTAGTCATAAGAAACCCCTTCCCCCATCACTCGTGGTTAATAAAAATTGTTGAATGAGTGAATATACGAGATCTGCTTTTCCTATATAATTCAATACTGAGTTCATCTCTCCAAGAAAATAACTAGAAATAAACACTCGTGTGACAAATGAAGTAATAAAAAACATATCAGTAAAGAATTTTTAAGCACTGGCTCTATTTAAGACATATCATAAGCCCTGCAGGATATATGAGGATAACTTAACCACAATCAGTTATGAGGCTTATATTCAAGAGGTAATAAATATTAATAGTTAAACCACAATGTAAATTTTCTGTAATGAATATACAAGCATTCAGATATTCAAAAGAGTGTTGTCTCTCTTGATGGAGTTAATTTAGGAGCCTTATTTATTGATTCTTTCACTGCACTCAAGAATTATTTATTGTAGACACACTATGAGACAGGCATTTTCCAAGTATAGGGCATTTATTGAGGATACAGTATGTAACAGGCATTTTCCAAGTACAGGAACAAGTTGGACAAGTAGTTCTGATGAAATTTACGTCTGGTCAGAGGAGACAGACAATAAAACAACAGATTAAAAAACAAAAATACCTGATAATAAGAATTCGGGTGCTGTGAGATGAGAGCATCGTGTATCAGATGCCACTTTAGGTGGCAGATCAGCGAAGACCTCTCTGAGTGGAGGATGTAGAAGCTGTGATCGGCCAGATGTTAAGTTCAGGGAGAGCATTCCAGATTGGGGGCAGTCAGAGCTTGGTGTGCTTGAGGAACACCAGGGAGGCCAGGTAGGGGATTAAAAGAGTTTGGCTTTTATTCTCGATTCTCTGAGAAGCCGAGTAGGATAATTAAGATGTTAAGATATGCTTTGTTCATATATTGCTCAGGGTGCTATGGGGAAAATGGATTTGAAAGGGGGCAAGTATAATGTAGAGAGACCAGTTAGATGCAGGTGGCCATAGTCCATAGTGAGAGATGGTGGTGCTTGGACCCAGATGTAGTGCAGGAGATAGAAATGAACAGATTGGGATACAAAATTTGGGGCGTCACATTGAAAGGACCTGTGAGATTTGAAGGAAACAGAAATTTTGAGTAATTCTTGGATGTTGGTTTGAGTAAGTAGGGAGGTGATGGTGTTCTTTATTAATATGAGGAAAACTGGCAGGGAGTGAGATTAGAGCAACACGATGGGTAAGGCATTAGGAATTGTTTTCACCATTGTAAGTAGTCTGTTTAGGTATCTACCTGGAGTTATCAAGTTGGTATTTTTATTAAAAAAAAAGTTGATCACCATTTTCCAATGAGAAGGTAAGAAATAAATTGTATTAAATTTTAGGTTGATAGCTGAAATAATTCAAATGACTATTTTTGTATTGATTTAGCAGTTTAGGTTTCCTGCGCATTTTTAAAAAAATCACATAAAATATGTTAATTTAGACATAGTGTTTTTTTTCTGTCTACATTTTACAAAACAATTTTATTCAAAAGCTTCCTGTACGTTTTTGACAGCTTCACATGCATTTTTGGCATCAATGTCTTTGGCACTACTACTGCAATTTTGGGGGGTTATGTGTTTCTTCTTAAAGGGATCTTTAAAAGGCTTTTATAATAGTATCTAACACTTGAAATTCTGAGGTCATCCTAGTAATATCTGTGTTATTATTTTTCTTACCCATTCCATTCTAGACTGGCACTATTTTAGAATAATATACATTTACCAAATAATACATTGTTGTTCAAAATAAAATAATTAAGGAAATACCTCATAAATGGAAAACTTAACAGATTCAGAAATAAGGCAACCTTTTCTTTTTCCCTCTGTATCCTTCTTTTTTTCACTTAATAAATTGTGGAGATTATTCACAGCAGTACATATGACCATTTTTCAACGTCTGCCCAGTAGTTAATTGTATAAATGTACCATTATGTATTTAACCAGCCTTCCAGTGGCGATATAGGTGGCTTATTATCTTAATAAACAGTGTACAGTGACTATGCTGGTACTTCTTTTGTGTAAAATCTCTGGAACAAAGGATAAATGCATTTTAAAATTTGTTAGATATTGCTTGTTTACCTTCCAATGAGGTGGTGGGAACAATCTTTCTATAGCCCAAAACACTGAAGAGTATATACCAACATTCTCCAAAATAGTGCGTTGTCAAACTTTTTTTGTCCAGGTCTTTTAGTGAAAATAATTAATGTATCATTGTAGAGTGGGGATTGCATTGTTTTTATTTTGGGCAAATTCGTTTAAATATCCTCAAAGGTAGCAACTTTTTGTCTTTTGATGGAGAATTTGAGTTTGGGAAAAGAAAGTCTTACGCATTAGAGGTATTAAGTTAGCTGTTTCTTTAAGGTTTGCTTCGGTTTGGTTTGGTTTGGTTTTTGTTCTATTTGTTAATTTTGAGGAGAGGGCTTAGTGAAAAGCAAGATCTAACTTTTAGTGAAAACTAATATTTATCTTAAAATTTTCTTAGAAGTTAAGTTTCAAAAGAAGAGCTCCAAAAATGTCTAAAGCAACGGCACTGTCAGTTGGTATAAGATTAAGTTTTTCCAAGGGGAATTATTTGAATTGAACACTCATTTGGATGTATAGTATGACCTGATGTTTGTTTAAAAATAAATCACCCACTGTGAAGCCTTTAGCTCAGATGGGTTTCTTTCACAGAAAGGTACATTAAAAACACATAATTTAAATTTTCATGGACAGAATTTTTAAAATTAGGTATTGCCTACTTTTTAATTTTCTTCCTTTTCACAAGAAGTAGCTAATCTAGAAAAAGAAGTCATTTTTACCATTATTGAACAAGCATTATTAGGACAATATTTACAAAAGTTTATAATTTTTCTACAAAGCAGATCAAAATATTTATATTTTCCCTTCTAAATCTAATCTGTATGTAGCAATATAGATAAAATTACCTAAAGTTAAATATATTAGCTATCCAATTTAGATAAATATTTGTTTTAAATTTTCAAATATTTAACTTCAGAACAAGTTGTATGTTTTAAACAGCGAACTGATTTTTGTATTTATGTTTTCTGCAGACTTTTGTCAAATTTTGTGTCTTTTACTCTAATACAAACTGCTTTTGAGAGAAGCAGACTTGCAGCTTGATGCATTATAAATCAGATATCTGAAAATCTATGTGTATAGGCATCAGATTTTATTAAAATGGTCATTGCACCAGTTCTCTACAGTTTTTCAAAATGAAACTGTCTTCAATAAACCATCTTGTTTTTATTTTCTGTGAAAAATTGAATTACTATCTGATCAGTTTGCTGTAAGAGAAGTTTTTAGCAGTTTTCAGGGGTAGCACCTTTCTGTCTTAAATATTTAATATGTCTGCATTCTGTTCTGCAGAGAAATGGTCAATGCCTGGTTTGCTGAGAGAGTCCACACTATCCCTGTGTGCAAGGAAGGCATCAGAGGCCACACAGAATCCTGCTCTTGCCCCTCGCAGCAGAGTCCCCGCGCAGATAGCAGTGCCCCCGGAACACCAACCAGGAAGATCTCTGCCTCCGAATTTGACCGGCCCCTTAGACCCATTGTTGTCAAGGATTCTGAGGGAACCGTGAGCTTCCTCTCTGACTCAGAAAAGAAGGAACAGATGCCTCTAACCTCCCCAAGGTTTGATAATGATGAAGGGGACCAGTGCTCAAGACTCTTGGAATTAGTGAAAGATATCTCTAGTCATTTGGATGTCACAGCCTTATGTCACAAAATTTTCTTGCATATTCATGGACTTATCTCCGCTGATCGCTATTCCCTCTTCCTTGTCTGTGAGGACAGCTCCAATGACAAGTTTCTTATCAGTCGCCTGTTTGATGTTGCAGAAGGTTCAACACTGGAAGAAGCTTCAAATAACTGTATCCGCTTAGAATGGAACAAAGGCATTGTGGGACACGTGGCAGCATTTGGTGAGCCGTTGAACATCAAAGATGCTTATGAGGTGAGTGGGGAATCATAGAGACGAGCTGGCGGGGTGAGGAGAGGAACATGGGAATATTGGACAACTGCTGGGAATGGTAGGGGTATTTTAAGCCGAGTTGTAATAGGATTACTGAGATGTAATAAATTGCATGCTTACTTAAAATTGGTATGTGGGGTAAGAACTTTCCCATCTTTTTAAATGCCAGCGTTTCTCTACTTGTGGTTGAGTCAAGGATATGGGCCCTAGAGAAAGCTTGTCTTGTTTTTCTCCTTGGTGATAATTTAACATAACTCATCTCATAGTTGTTTTCTCTTTTTACCGGCTGTCTATAATTATCCTTATCTATTTTATCTTCCAAGGATTTTACTGACAATCTAAAATGCTAGGTCCAAAACCTGTCAAAAATCCAAACCAGTAGTCTTTTATCATTCATTTGTTCTATTCATTGATCCATTTATTCAGATTAATTATATTCATTCATTTGAAGTCCCATTAACACCAAAATCTGATTTTATTTTTTTCCATACTTTGTTTCATTGGTTTTATTAAACTAAATAAATTTATGTCTTCAAAAAAATAGAAATTGTTGCTCTAAAATATGTCAGTGGAAACATTTGGTATTTCTTCCACTTTGCTCCAATTATGTACCGGTCTTTAATTATGTACTTAAAGATTACACTATATGATTCCTCAAATTTTTCATTTAAAATTATCTTTTTTATTAATAGAATTATGCTCTTTTTAGAAGATTTATTTAATTTTGAGAGAGAGCATGAGCAGGGAAGGGGCAGAGAGAGAAGAGGACAAATTATCTGAAGCAGATTCTGTGTTTACAGCAGTGAGCCTGATGTGGGGCTTGAACTTATGAACCATGAGATCAGAACCCGAGTCGAAGTTGGACCCTCAACCAACTGAGCCAGAATAATAAACAAGAATAATGGTTTTTAAATAAAACATCTTAGGGGCACTTGGGTGGCTCAGTGGGGTAAGTGTCTGAGTCTTGATCTCAGCTCAGATCTCACAGATCTCGAAGTTTGTGAGTTCCAGCCCTGTGTGGGGCTCTGTGGTGACAGTGCAAAGCCTGCTTAGGATTCTGTCTCTCCTTCTCTGCGCCTCCCCACTTGTTCTCCACCCCCCAAAATAAATAAATAAACTTAATTAAAAACATAAATAAAGCATCTTAATTGAATGGCATTTTGTTTATCAGGTGTTTTCTAGCACCATGATAGAACAATTGTTCTAGCTACTTACGTATCATGTGGTACACTAAATGTTCCGTGGCAATCCTGGCTTGCAACTTCTCTATGTAACTTGAGGGGCTATTGCTTTTTTTATTCATTCCAGTATTCCTGATGCCTAATGCAATGCCTGGCACATAGTCAGATGTTTTTTTTTTTTTTTTTAACATTTATTCGTTTTTGAGAAACAGAGAGACAGAGCATGAGTTGGGGGGGTGGTGCAGAGAGAAAGGGCGACATAGAATCCGAAGCAGGCTCCAGTCTCTGAGCTGTCAGCACAGAACGTGACAGGGGGCTCAAATCCACGACCCATGAGATCATGACCTGAGTGGAAGTCGGATGCTTAACTGACTGAGCCATTCAGGTGCCCCAGTCAAGTTTTAATAAATATTGACTAAATTAAAATTATATAGTAGATAGGATAGATAAATAGAGTAGAAAGGAGGTCATAATAGATGCCAAGGAAAATGTGGTAGGTTCAGGGAAACAGGAGATGTCATTAGTTGGGGAGATGAAGAAATGTTTCTTTGAGGAAGCAATACTTGATATGGACCCTGGAAAACAGATAAGATTTGAATAGATTGGTTTGTGTGCATGGTGATATCCAGATGTAAAGAGAAGTTGAAAGAAGAAACAGGGCAGGTGCACTATGTGTGCTAGTATAGACATGTGGGTAATAGTGTAGACACTGAGGAGCTATGGGAGCAGAGCCTGAAGATTATTGGGGTCTTGAATGCCAGGCTGAGGGGTATGTATGTGGGCCAAAGCCATGAGGGATAATTAAAGATGGTTTGAAAGCGCGATTGCTAAGATTCATACTGGGCTTTAGCAGGATGAATTTTACAGTGGTCATAAAATGAATTAGAAAAAAAAAAAATACTGGAAACTGGGAGGATAAATTATTGAACAGTGTGAGGAAGTGAGTACCTGAACCAGGACACTAGTCTTAATGAGCAAAAGAAAGGAATGGATTTCCGATAAAGAAGTGGAGTCTGTTGGAGTTGGTTGCTAATAGGAGATGAAAGTGAGGGGAAAGGAGGAGTTAGGATGACTGAGGGTTTGAAGACAGGTGAATAAATATATTAACTAGTGAGGAATATTGAGGGGAGGGATTTGGGTAGAGATGTAAAATCCTGAGGTACTTTCCAGAATCCATCCTATATAAGCAGTTTATTCAATTTTGATTCTTCTTGGAGCTCTCTCTGCAACTTCTATGAGCTCTGGAGCAATGTCACAATGTCACAGACTACAAGCAGGGTATTAAGGACACAGCAGAAGGATTGCTGCCAAATTTGCAGAATTCCCTTCCTGTCTTAGGTGACAGCTGGGTTTCCGCTTTTCAATGGCACTATAGTCCCACGTACGGTAGGACCATAAATATGCTTCAGCTTTGCTGAGAAAGCCTTCATTTGTCTGCGTGGTTCTAAGTTTCTGCAGCCCTGAGAATTTCTTCACTTATATGCATTTTGTTTAATATGCTTTCCATTTTTGACAGTGTCGTTTTTGTTCTGCAATTGGTAACGATGTAATTCTTGCACTGCTGTCTCACAGAGGCCCACATCCTTGATCTTCAGGGCTTCCAAGGGGAAGCCTCTTAGCCTGTGGATTCCTCATGTTGCTACCTTACGCTCAGCACCCGTGATCCGTGTCTATAGTGGCCCTGTAGAAGTTATTTGCATCCCAGGGATTTCACTTAGAAGTTGTGGAGTTGATCTGTGACATACAGTTCACATTGGTGTTGACAGTGGAAGTCAGTCAGCTAATGGATAATTCATAATTCAGCCCCACCCATGATTCAGATAATCAAAATAGTGTCCCATAGCCTCTTGTGAAAGTAGTCAGAATGCATTCTGTTTTCTGAGTCCTACCTCCTACCTCTTTAAACATGTATCTGTGAAAATGGCACCCTTAAAGCAGAGTTCTCAAAGCTTATTTGACCACAGAACCCTTGAAAAGTTGTAATGTAGCAGTGGAAAACCACAAGGTGGCCATGAAACATAATCATACTCGGGTTGAAGCTAAAAATTAAGAAATAGTCTCATAGATAAGTCAATTATAAGAAGTGGTCAACATTTGGTTCGTTTTTTAAAACTTTGTGACAATGATAAAAATGTGAGAATTCAACTATTTTATTACTAACAAAATAACACATTCATATATTTAAAATATAAAACAAGATCCATAACTCAAACCAGTGATTCTCAATCATACCACAAATACTAATGCAAGGGTATTTGCTGCCTATATATAGAAGTTCAATCACACATCGTCTCCTTCTACATCAGCCCATCATTCATGTAACTTTCTTGAATGTGGCACAGCATTTATTGATAATAAGATATTAACACGTAATAATCAGAGCAACTCAGGACAACTGTTTAAATGTGTTTGGTGTTTTCCTTATACGTGAGAACTAGATATCATCCAGTATCTACATTGGATTGTGTATTAGTCAGGGTTCCTCAGAGAAACAGACTCAATAAGATGTATGTATATAAGATAAGAGGTTTATTATAGAAATTAGCTTACTGGATTATGGGGTCATAGAAGTTCCATGATATGCCCACTGCCTGCAAACTGGACAAGTAGGTAAGCTGGTGGTGTAATTCAGAGTCTGAAGGCCTGAGACTCGGGCAGCCAGTGGTCTAAGTCTGGTGTGGGTTTGGTTCCAAAAGCCAGGGAACCAGGAGAGCAGGTGGGCAGAAGAACTTTCAACTTAAGCATTAAGAATGAATTTGCCCTTCCTCTACCATTTTGTTCTGTTCAGGCCCTCAGTGATTTAGATGGTGCCAACCTACATTGGTGAAAATCTTTGCTCAGTTTAGTGATTCAAATGCTAATCTCTTCTAGAGACATCCTTACAGACATACCCAGAAATAATGTTTTACCAGCTGTTTGGTCAAGCTGACACTTAAAATCGACCATCACAGATTGCCTTGAACCCCTAGTGGCATGCCCTACAGAAGCCTCAAGATTCCCCCAAGATTTCCTGTCAAAGGATTTATATTGTCAAAACACTCCTTTTTCTCCTAAGTCAACTAGAATGTGAAACTTAGACTCTTCTCTTGTTTCCATAGGACAGCCACTCCAGGCATGCCATGATTTCTAGGGAGAAGACTTGGGCGGTTTTAGGGAAGGGTCTCACTGCCATTCAGATGGCTTTACCATGTAGCTGCTGCTCTTCCCACCCTGATGACTTAATTCCTCCTTTTACATTCCTTATCTACATAAATAAGTCTTTACCATCTCTCACTTTGTATATCTTACTTTCTCAGGAAATTTTCCTAAAGAATTGTGAGCTCTCTCAAAGAATTTCTAATGAATAAAATTATTTCCAGAATGAATTTCAGAGGGAAGAAGTAACAATATCAATGATTTTAATCTTGATAAATCTGCTAATCTGTCATGATCTAATTGTACCCCAGGGAACATAGTTTGGGAAACACTATATCCGTCTTTGTTTAATATTCTCATAATCTTTAGACATTGTCTTAAAAATGCCACTCTGTGAGAGAAAATTGCCTATAAATTGGCAAGTCTACATATTGTTTTCTGTTATTTTTATTTTTATAGAATTTCAAGCTTAAGAGAAAATTGTAAGGCTAGTAGAAGAAACTTCCATATATATTCTACCCAGATTCTCCAGCTGTTTATGTTTTGTTCAGTTTGCTTTATCATTTTGTTCTTGTATATACAATACATGTAAGTAATATGTGTACACTTTTTCTGAACCACTTAATAAGTTGGAAATATTTGGGGCGCCTGAGTGGCTTAGTCGGTTGAGCGTCCGACTTTCGCTTAGGTCATGATCTCGCGGTTCGTGGGTTTGAGCCCCGCGTCGGGCTCTGTGCTGACTGCCAGCTCAGAGCCTGGAGCCTGTTTCAGAGTCTGTGACTCCCTCTCTCTCTGACCCTCCCCTGCTCACGCTGTCTCTCTCTCTCCTAGAAATAAATAAAACATTAAAAAAAATTAAAAAAAAAATAAGTTGGAAATATTTCTACTAAATCAGTGAATATTTTCTAATAAGAGTATTCTTATATATAATTGTAATATTTATCATAATCAGGACATTTTAGGATATAATCCTATTACCTAATAGTCCATAGTTCAATTTAGTTTATTGTCCCATTAATGTTCTTCTTTTTCCTCTGATTAAGAGTCTAATCCAGAATTACATAGTGAATATGCTTGTCATGTCTCTTTAGTCTTCTTAAATCTGGAATAGTTTCACAGTGTTTCTTTATCTCTCTTAGCATATATTTTGAGTGTTCAGGCTAATTATTTTGTCAAATGTCTTTTTGAGAAGACTCAAAGTAGGCATTTTGGGCAGAAATATCACAGATACCAATGATGAGACCCTGTTTGGTCTTCCAGACAACAGTCAGTTCTTCACTTTTCCTACACCAGGTGGATATCCTACAACCCAATTCAATTCTGATAGTAACTGCTAGTGGTTAGCCCTAACCACTCGTATCTAACTCCTGACACTATACTACTACTAGTTAGCACAGATCCCCACAGTCTAAAGACTCAATCCCACTAGATTGTCCACAGTTCCCAGTTCAGATACCGGCCTCAAACAGGGTCCCTAAGCTACCCACATTTTTGCCCACCTACAAATTAGATGATTCCTCCCTCAGTTTCAATAATTTGCTAAAATGATTCACATAACTCAAGGAAGCACTATATTTACAATTATTGTTATATTATAATGTATATAATTCAGGAACAGCTAAGTGGAAGAGATGCCTTAGGGCAAAGAATAGGAGGTGGGGGACAAATCCATGGATGAATGGATAAAGAAGATGTGGGGTGTGTGTGTGTGTGTGTTTATATATATATATATAAAATGCTTCATTCATACAGAATGAAATATTAGTCAGCAATCAAAAAGAATGAAATCTTGTCATTTGCAACTGCGTGGATGGAACTGGAGGGTATTATGCTAAGCGAAATTAGTCAGAGAAAGACGAATATCATATGACTTCACTCCTATGAAGACTTTAAGATACAAGACAGATGAACATAAGGGAAGGGAAGCAAAATAATATAAAAACAGGGAGACGGACAAAACATAAGGGACTCTTAAATATGGAAAACAAACAGGGTTGCTGGAGGGATTGTGGGAGGGGGGAATGGGCTAAATGGGTGAGGGGCATTAAGGAATCTACTCCTGAAATCACTGTTGCACTATATGCTAACTTGGATATAAATTTAAAAAAAGAAAGGAAAGGAAAGGAAAGGAAAGGAAAGGAAAGGAAAGGAAGGAAGGAAGGAAGGAAGGAAGGAAGGAAGGAAGGAAGGAAAGAAGGAAGAAAGAAAGAAAGAAAGAAAGAAAGAAAGAAAGAAAGAAAGAAAGAAAGAAAGAAAGAAGGAAAGAAAGAAAGAAAAAAGAAAGAAAGAAAGAAAGAAATTCTATTAAAAAAATAAATAAAAGGAGGTGGAGACACAAATTCCACTCCTTTTCCAGGGGTTGCACCACAATCCCAGCATGTAGATATCTTCACCAACCTAGACACTCCTCCAGACTTCATTGTTTTGAGTTTTTTTAATCAAGGTTTCATTATGTAGGCATGATTGATTAAATCCATTGGCAATTAGTGATTGAATTCAATCTCCAGCCCCCTCTCCCTTCTCTGGAGGTCAGGGGTGGGGCTCAAAGTTCTAACCCTATAATAAGTTGATTGATTTTTCTGGTAGCCAGTCCCCATCTCAAAGCTCTCTGGGGCCCACTCACTTATGACTCATCTCATTAGCATGAACACTGGTATGGTGGAAGGGGCTTGTGTTCACTATCAAAAGACTTTCCTGTTACTCAGGAAATTACAGGGACTTTAGGAACTCTGTGCAAGAACCTGGGACAAAGACTTAATATACATTTTATTAAATGCCCAAAGTCTTCTCAGCATATGTTATCAAGAAGCATGTGAATTTCGTTTATCCCAGTGTTGATGTTAATTTTGAAAACTTGGTTACTGGTGTCTACTAGTTTTCTCCACTATAAAGGTATAATTTTTCTATTGTAATTAATAAATCTTATGGGGAGATACCTTGATATTGTGTAAATATTCTGTTCTTCATGAACCTACATTTGGCAATTTTCGTATCCATTGATTTGCTAACTCCGTCATACCTTCTATATGTTTTAGTTGGCATTCTCATGTAAAGAAGAGTTTGCCTTCTTGATTCATTCATTTCTTTATTTATTTCACTATTTATTTATTTATTTCTTGTCAGCAAGAAAATACCCCTGAAGAAAGTCAGAGAATTGCCTGGTTGTCATGTGTATTCCCCCTTTATGTGGTCTGTAGTTTAGTTGTCTCATATATTAGTCTAGTCTTACATTTTTCAGTAGGAGGGTAAGTCTGGTACCAGTTGCTTTATTTTAGTAAGTGGATATCCAAGGCTTATGTTTTCTTTTACACTGTTCTCATAAACAGTGAAAAGAATAATCACCATAATAGTACTGCTCCATTTTTTCTTTGGTGTTTGCTGGGCCTAGAGCAGTTAAAAGTCCTCTATGTGTATTGCCTTTGCCCTGTTTGCATTATTAGGAAAATTTTTTGAGATGCCCAAATTCACCTAACGTGAATGTGAAGCATACATTACTCCTACCTCCTTCAATGAAATGAAATCCAGGCTGCTGTTGATTTTAAACTCCTAGAAGGACCCCAAAGCTTTGAAAGTCCTATTAATGACAGGCTGTCAAACTCTATTGCTTTGATTAGATAGTTGAGTTAAGTCCTCTTCTTTACAAATTGGTCTTGTAATTTAAATATTCATTAACAAAAAATTGCTGAGGATGCATCTTTATTCATACTTTGATTATTAGCTTGTAGAATAACCCACTATATAAGTTAATAATTTATGTTTTTAATTCAATATCAGTATCCTGTCTGCCCTTTTAGAACATTCCAATATAGTATGTTATTTAAGATTTTTAAAAAAATATTTAGCCGAAGTTTTCTCTGTGTCTCAACATAGCTTTGAGCATGTTTGCAAAAAAACCAAAAATGCAGCACTGTTTATTTAAAACATAAAATATTTATACTGATTTTCCACTATTTTATAACTTTTCTCTTGAAATTGTCTTTAAAGCCAAGTTTGGCTCTCTTGGGAAATTTGGCCTTATTTCTGACCCCAGTTGATGGAATCTAGTGTAATTGTTTACTTCATTCATAGCTTTGACTTTGCATGACTTTAGACTAATTAAAAAAAAAATGATCTTCAAAGATGAGGATTTTCCAATCTGCTATTCTATATTCTCTGAAGGGAATTCCAAAAGCAGAGTTTTTAGAGCAGTGTTGCTATTATTATGTTGAACATGTAACTTCCCAAGACTATTGATTGTTGGGGAACAGCACTCCTTCAGATGTTTATTTTTGGTATGTGTGTTTACATTCTAATCTTCAGATACAGTAGTATCTGTCCATTTCCCCTAGTATGGTTGCCCCCTTACTACAAGTTTTGTTTTAAGGTATAATAAACTAAAAATGATCACATCTGATAACTGTGATACTATTTGTTAATTCATTCCTTTATTTATTTAACAAATGCTTTTGAGTTCTTGTGCTAGTGTTGGGAATACAGTGACAAACCAAAAAAAAAAAAAAGAAGAAGAAAAAAGTCCCTCATAGAGTTTACAGCCTAACTTTAATCTTCCCAATCTAAAGTTCAATGAAAATAGCCTAAACCCTTCTTTCATTAACCCACATTTAGAACTTTTATACCTCTCAGAAGTCTTCTGTGGTTATTGGCTGTGTATGATATAATTTGTAAGAGGTAAAGAAATGCAAAAATTAAGGAGTTCTTTACAGTCTGATTGAGGCCACACAGCTTGTTTTATGTACACACACACATGAAATTATTTAAAATTCCTATGAAGACCTGAGATAGAAGAATAGAGTACTGAGGTGATATATAAGAAACTATTATATGGAAAGTAAAGTCGGTATTAAGTTGATCATTTTGGAGTTCTTAGGTTTCATAGGAAAAGTTTCAGAGCAGAGATGCTTTTCTTTGGGATGGCCCAGAAGAATCAGATAGTGGGATGGGCACAGGCAAATTATGTTACTGAGGTGGAGAGTTGCCACTTTTTTGTGAATCTAAGGAATCCTATCTAAATCTGTTAATACTTTGAATTTCCTTTATTCTGAACATTGGTTTGAGTCTGTATTGTTTTGTTTCTCATAAACACTAGCTACTAAAAACATAACATAAACATAAAATTATCTTAGTCAGAGATGATATGTACTTAGATGATTTTATGTCTTTCCCAATGATAAAATTGTCATTCAGAGTAACGAGGTAAGTTGAAGGTTAGATTTTTCTAATCTTATAAGTTGGAAAAATCAAATCTATCCTTGAACAGGTCGATCATTAAATTGAATTTCTTTTCCTTACCAGGATCCTCGGTTCAATGCAGAAGTTGACCAAATTACAGGCTACAAGACACAAAGTATCCTTTGTATGCCGATTAAGAATCATAGGGAAGAGGTAAGCCAATTTTCCATTTTGTAAAAGGTCATTTGGAAACCTTTTCTTTTTTGAAAGAAAGTTTTACTTTGCATATTTATGAAATATGACTGTAGTGACAAGTTAATTACGAAGTACTTAAATGTTCTGCTTGATTTTTTTTTTTTAATTTAGACTTTAGATAGGGCTGAATCTTGATAGAGACTTTACTTTGAGTTAGAAATAGATTTCAGACTTTTTATTTCCTTACCTCACCACCCCACCACCATCCCAGGACCTTTTTCTATTTTACAATACATAATTGTGATTGTGATTAGAATCAATTTATTTCATACTATTTTGGAAATGTCTGAATAATGCTCATTTCATAAATGGTTATCCAATTGCAGCGGTCATCAGCTGATTTTGTAGGGAGGCATTCAAAATGAGGTTTTGAAAACATGAAAATTGTAGCCAATTCCAAGTACATTTTATTGTGAAATTATAACAAGCAAATGAAATGTTTTGGGTTATATTTTGTCTAACTAGAAGGTTTGGATTCTGTTAGTACTAAATTCCCTCTTCACTCATACTTATTTGGAAAAAGTAGTTAATAAATTATCAGTCAAATTGTATGTTTCAGTTAAATGTTCTCAACCCTGGGTGCCCATTACAATCAACTGAGGAACTCTAAAATATTACCAATTAAATCTGAATCTTTAAGGGCAGTGTGTAGACACTGATATGTTTTTAAAGCTCTCCAAATAATTCTAAAGTGTAGCCTGGGTTGAAAATCGCTACTTGAAGTGAAAACAAATAGATTGGAAGCATCTGTACTGGGACATCTTAATCTTGGCTGTACATTAGAATCACCTGGGAAACACTGAGAAATTTTAATGCCCAGGCTTCACCGAAAATCAGTCTCTGGAGTTGGGACCCAAGCATCAGTATTTTGATGTTCCCAGGTGATTACAAAATGCAGCTAGGTTTGAAAACCACTGTCAAAGATACTAAAAACACTTGACTGCTTCTACTTGATTTATATTCAGATTATGACATCTTTCTTTTTTCTCCTCCATCCAGTCCTTTACCAAGTTCCATTGATTTTTTCCATTGGAGTTTTTCTTACTTCAGTTCCTTTCCTTTCATACCTGTTGCTGTAATTCAGATATTGAAGCAGTGCTTGAACTTTTAAAATATTCTTGTAAGAGGCTTCTGTACTTGCACTCAGTTTCCCTTCAATCCATCCTGCTATATGCCCTGGGAATTTTCCTAAAACATGGCTTTCTAAACCAGTGTTCCTAAAACATTAACGTTCATGTGAATCACATGGGGATTTTGTTAAAATGCAGTTTCTGAATTCCGTAGGTCTAGGTGGGACCTGAGGTTCTTTTCTAACAAGCACCAAGTTGATGCAGACGCCCCAAGTCTGCAGATCACAATTTGACTAACAGGATCCTAAACGAGTCATTTCCCAGTAGTCTAAAATGTGGTTCTTTGAGGGGAGAGTTAGAGCCAAAGTCACTAAAAGTACTTGCAGTTAAACCATGAATATGAAATCAATTTATTAATTACTTGGTTAATTAATTAATTGGTTAATTATGTGGGTGAATAAATAAAATTGAAAAGGCCATCGACTAATGATGAGGTTGCCAGATACAGCAACTAAAAAGCATGTTCCTTGGAATATTTGTGATGTACTTAAACTAAAAATTACTTGTTCATCTGAAATTAAATTTGACTAGCTTTCCTGTATTTTATCTGATAGCCCTAGTTATAAACCAAGAGCTAGGATTCTGTGCCCTGAGAAGACTATGTTCAGCTTTTAGTTAGTTAAATATACGGGAAAATTGTGACCCAAAAAACAACTTTGTACTGGCTAAGAGACTCAACCTGAGTCATTCTTTGATTAAACTTCTCTTTCTAAAAGTGTGAACAGTCTCACCAGCATTGGGGATTGGGGGAACCCATGAAAATGTGCAACAAAATCACCAAGGCAGAATGAGTGGGACTGCCCTTCTGTAAGAGAGTAACCACAGGATACATGTGTTTCTTTATGACTACCTGTAAGGATGATTTAATTAAATAGAGCAAACGGCTGTACTGAGGTATAATTTAACACAATAGAATTCACCCATGTTAAGTGTATGGCTTGATGAGTTTTGGCAAGTGTAACCCATTACTGCAATCCAGATATAGAACATTTCTGTCACCTCAGATGTTTCCCTATACCCCTTGCCTCCCCCCAATTCTCCTCCCCCCGCCTTCCCCCTCAGCTGCTAACCCCTAACAATCACTACTCTGTTTCTTGTCACTATTGTTTTTGCCTTTTCTAGAATGTCATATAAATGGAATCCTACAGTATGTAGTCTTGTGTGTCTGGCTTCTTTCACTTCTTTCAGTTCTTTGTAAGATTCATCCATGTTGTTGCAAGTATCAGTAATTTGTTACATTTTTTTTATTTTATTTTTTTAATGGTTATTCATTTTGAGAGAGAGTGCGGGTGAGGGAGGAGCAGAGAGAGAAGGAGAGAGAATCCCCAGCAAGCTTTGTGAGCTGTCAGCACAGAGCCTGACTGAGATCATGACCTGAGCCAAAATCGACATTTGAATGCTCAACTGACTGAGCCATCGAGGTGTCCCAATTCCTTTTTGTCGATGAGCGATTTATTCCATGGTGTGACTATACCAGTTTGATTATTCATTCATCGGTTGATAGATACCTGAGTTGTTTCCAGTTTTATGGAAAAAAGCCACTATTATGAAAGAAGCCACTGTGACTGTTTGCATTTGGGTCTTTGTGTGAAAATAATGCTTCATTTCTCTTTGATACATCTATAGGAGGGGACTTGCTAGGTCATATGTTAAGTGTATGTTTAATTTTTTTAAATGTTTTATTTATTTTTGAGAGAGAGAGAGAGATAGCATGAGCAGGGGAGTGTCAGAGAGAGAGGGAGATACAGAATCTGATGACAGGCTCCAGGCTCTGAGCTAACTGTTAGCCCAGAGCCCGACGCTGGGCTCGAACCCATGACCCATGAGATCATGGCTTGAGCCGAAGCCAGATGCTTAACCAACTGAGCCACCCAGGCTCCCCAGCGTATGTTTAATTTTATAAGAAACTTCCAGATTCTTTCCCAAAGTGGCTGTACCACATGTGTTCTTACCAACAACAGAAGAGAGTTCCAGTTGCTTCACCTTTTTGGCAACATGTGGTATTAGAAGTTTTTAAAATTTTAGCTGTTTTAATAGAGATGGTTTGAATTTGATTACATGAATATATAACCCCACTCTCAACTAGGGGGTCTTCTTACTTCCGGATCTGATTACAGTAGGTCCAGCTACAGGTCCCAGATTGTGATTGTCCAGAGCTCTTCCGAAGATTCCTGCTGGGTTCCTGAGCAACCTTGGTCTGTCTGCTTCCATGTTCCCACATCCTCTCCTGCTGTCTCTGCCTTACCCTGGAATGACTGGAGAGGAAGCCAGGACTGTTTACTGGTCTTCACGAAAGTTCACGCACACCAATCATTTCATGGAGCTAAGAAGCCTTCAGTAACTTCACTGGAGACTTAGTAACATTACTGAGGGGAGGATTTCCAAAAACAGCTTTTAAAAGGTCTTGCTTAGTCTCCTTATTCTCTACCTTCTCCCACCTGCTCCCTCTCCCCGCCATTGGCACCACTCAATTCCAAATTATTTTGAGAGGGGCGCCTGGGTGGCTTAGTCGGTTAAGCGTCCGACTTTTGCTTAGGTCATGATCTCGCGGTTCGTGGGTTCAAGCCCCGCGTCGGGCTCTGTGCTGACTGCCAGCTCAGAGCCTGGAGCCTGTTTCAGTCTGTGACTCCCTCTCTCTCTGACCCTCCCCTGCTCACGCTGTCTCTCTCTCTCCTAGAAATAAATAAAACATTAAAAAAAAATTATTTTGAGAGAATAATTATCCTGTGAGAATAATTTCTTCAGAGAAAAGGAATGAAGAGAACAGAATAGACATACTCTGCTGTGCTAAGAAAAAAAACTAATCTGGCTGACAGAACCAAGGCCACTAAGAAGATGCAGTATATGACTTTCAGAATTATCTTCAAATTTATAGCTATGTAGACAAACCCAGGGCAGTGTTACTTTTGTGTATATACAGAAGTACTTTTTTTCTCACAAAGTTTTTGAAATTAAGATGGAGAGGCACAAGTAAGGCTTTAAGAATAATTTTTTTTTTAATTTTTGTTTTTTAAAGTTTATTTATTTATTTCGAGAGAGAAAGAGTTCGAGAGTGCATGTGTGTGAGTGGGGGCAGAGAGAGAGGGAGAGAGAGAATCCCAAGAGGCTCCACGCTGTCAGCACAGAGCCTGATCCGGGGCTCAATCTCATGAACCATGAGATCGTGACCTGAGTGAAATCAAGAGTCGGTCGCTTATCCGACTGAGCCACCGAGGTGCTGCTGGGAGTAATTGTTAAGACTGCTGGCTCTGGGCTTGAATCCCATGTGTACCACTTGCTTGATAAGTAGCCAGAATGGAATTAGTTAATCCCTTTGGTTTTCGGTTTTCTCATCTACAAAATGGATAAAATGAAAAGATCAACCTCCTAGGGTTTTTGTGAAGAACTAATGCGTTCATGCATGCTAAGGGCTTACCTGGGACACTAAAAGTGATCAATAAATGTTATGCTTTTTTAAAAGGAGACATAGAACTAATAGAGCTTTTAGGAGAGATAAGGAATGATATAATTATATGAAGAGGTCTTTAGCCACATGGTGTAACCAGCTATCTAAGGCCAAGTGATAACCACAGCAGTCCCTGCCTTAACCTGATATGCTGTCCCCTAACTTTAAGCTTAAAAGAAAATGCCTTTCACTGTTTTTACTCATAAATAAGGCAAAATAAATTTGTGTTTTCCCTTTGTGTGATTCCAATTGTATTGAGTAAGCCAACACCGATTCCAACTGATTACTGGGGAAGCTAAAATGAAGTGTGATTTTGTAAACAGTCAGTTAATAGTTTATTTAACTGATTGTTCACAAAATGTCTTGGTACTTGTTAGTGACCA